GCCAAACCTCTCTGACTCTCCTTCTGGCATCACATCTATTTCTCTGACCCCAGATGGTCAAGATTTCCCACTTTGAAGGAGTCATGTGATTAGATTGGAACCACCAGGTAACCGAGGATAATCTCCCCCTCTCAAGGTCCTATAGGCATTTAATCACATCCACAAAGTCCTTTCTGACATATCAGGTAATATAGCCACAGGTTCCCAAGATTAGAACATGTGTATCTTTGGGTTGGGGGATAGGTCATTATATCTGTAGAGAACAAATCTCATGAAATCTTTGTAGCAAACACAGGACTGAAAAAGATAGCAAACAAATAGATATGGTTATAAATAAGATTTAGAGAAAGTGGATGAATGGATGCTAACCCATCCATCACAGGGATTACTGGTTATATCAGATGCTTCTGCTATGTGACATTTTACATATCCTATCAAGGCACCACCACTTGCTTTCCACAGACAGGTGGAAGATAAAAGAATGGAAAAGATATTCTGTGCAAACAACGAGCAGAAAAGCAGATGCGACTATTTTAACACCAGACAAAGAAGACTTCAAGACAAGGAGTAGTACCAGAGATAAAGAGGGACCTTTTGGTGTGTAAAAAGTATCAATTCATCAGGAAGACATAACAACCTTAAACATGCATGTATCTAATAACAGAGATTCAAACGCACGAAGCAACATTGATAAAACTAATAACAAAATAGGCAAACCCACAAATATAGGTTTATATTTTAACATCACTTCCTCAATAGCTAAGAGAACAAGTAGAGAGAAAAATCAGTACATTTGAAAATATGAGTAACACTATCAACTCGTCCGACATTCACGAGCCCCACACCCAACAACTGGCTGCACTCATGGACTTTTCAAAAGCACATGGGGCCATTCACCAGGATAGACCATAAGCTGGGTCACAAAACAAGTTTCAACATGTTCAAGGACTAAAATAATATAGAGTATATGCTCTGACTATGAAGGAATTAAAGTCAATAGCTAAAAGATATTCAGAAAAGTTCCAAATATTGAGAAATTAGGCAACATACTTCTATATAACATATGGCTCCAAAACAACTATATGGGAAATTAAAAAACATTTCAAAATGGTCAGTATTGAAAACACAACATTAAAATCTATGGAATTCAGCTAAAGTAGCGCTAGAGGGAAATTTATCACTTTCAATGCTTATGTTAGAAGATTTAAAATCAATAATATATCATTCCACTTCCTAAATCAAGAAAATAAACAGAAAACTAAGTGCAATATGAGTACGAGGAAGGAGATAATAGAGATAAGAGCTGAAACCATAGAGAAAATCATGAAGCAATGGAATTCAATCATTGCCACTTGTGAAACCTGTGCTTCTTGTTCCTACATACTGTCACACGGCCAGACCCCAGGTCCTTATTCATGAAGACAGTACACCAGAGAATATTTCTACTGAATTTGAAGTTGTTACTACCACCTGGTCATTGGAGCTCCTCAGGCCAATGGATCAACCAATGGAGAAAGAGTTACAACATTGGTAGACCTGTTACTGGTTACCATGGGGAGTTGGGGTCCTGTGATACAATGGAGTAAGCAAGGAACATATCCAGAAACCTGGGGATTCTTTGAAGCATCTCTCAGTGCTTCCATGGCTGGTGAAAATGGTGAACAGGCAACTACAGGAAATGCAGCCTGACAAGGTCAAAGCAGGTCTCTCAGTGGAGACCTGGCTTGCTCTTTGAGGAAAGAAATCTAACTCAGCCCAAGTGTTGCCTGAATGAAGGTGAGGAGAATCGAGACTGGGGGCTGGAACACAGAGCTGATACATATCAAATACGTCCTCAAGGCCAGCTACCACCCTGAAGGGACTTTGAGATAGATGAGGCTTATCAGTAAAGGAGACCATGAGCTTATCTGAGTGGTGGAAGGGGTCAACTGTTAATGGACGTCACTTGTGTGCTACCTCGTGTTCTCTCAGTCCCATCTCTCACCCCAGTCACTGCTGCAGAGACAGATCCAAGACGGTGTTGATGTGTTCTGCACAGAACCCACACTGCGTTCCTTCAGGCCCACACTGCATTCATTCCTAATTCTCCTGCCCTGATGTGATGTAATGGGACTGCCATGGGAACTTCCTTGGCACTCAGGTAGGCAGAACCTGAAAGTGTGGAGGATAATGCTTGTGGGGCCAGCTCTGAACAATGGGGGTGGGGGGCCCTGCAGAAGGTCCTATGTTAGGGATCCCCCATAGTAGTGGTGAATTTAATAAAAACGCATTGATTTGCTTTTCATCATTCTCCGCCTCACCTGATCTGCTCCCTGGGATCACCTCCCAAATGAACTGCCTTCACCCGAGCCTTTGTCTCAACCTCTGCTTGGGGGAAACCCTGTCTTTATAACCAAGAATGAATTTCCGCTGGCCACCCAGAGCTACATTCTTAACTTTCTTTAGCAACCATTCAACGCAACTGGGGGTTAGTGTGCTTGGATAAGGCAATACCACTTTGGAGAATTTAGGCTGGCAGATTTCCCAAGGGAAGACTTTCTTGCTTGTTAACTTCATTGCTAATGGCCCCATTTTTACCCCTGGTTCTTTTTCTTTTCAGAGTTTGAAATAACTCACCCAATTTCTTTGAAACAAACAAGCAAAGCAAAAATCTAACCAGTCTTTTCACATTAACGCTGCTGGTAAATCCAGGGTTTAGTAAATATCCCGTGTATAAAAGTATTCCCCCTTAGCCTTTAGTTGTTGTCATTTCTTTTCTTTGCTATTTACAGAGTCGCGAAACCTTGTTTTCTTCCCTTTAAATGACAAGAGACTATTTTCTTTGGCATCGCCCCAGAGTACAGCACCGGTTAAGCTTGCTGCTATGTGACAGTTCTACTCAAAAGGCCGTGAGAGCAAGTGACTTGGATTATAGGAAGTAGCCCCAGGAAACTCAGAACATTTTATTTCCTGTCTTTTTGCCAGGATGCTGGTTTTTCCTTGGCCAGTAGTAATTTGTAATAAGGTCAAGCTTTATTCTAGTTGGAATCTCATAGACTATCAGCCACATTTCTTTGTTACAAGCAATTGCTCACCCTTACAAGATCAAGAGGAGACACATTAAGGGGAAAACAACATATTTAGTTTAGGATTCTACATGACAAATGGTTCTTGATAATCTTCTCAGCTCAACTCCCTAAAAAAGAGAAATGATTGACTACATATGACTAGGTATATATCCATCACACTTGAAGAGAGATTCAGACTGTGTTTACAAAACACCAGCACCACCACCACCAACAACAAAAACCAGAATAAACTTCAAAAGAATATAACAACTGCCACCAACTGACTCAGAAAGACTAAAGAAATCAGAAATAGAAAGCTGAAAATCAGGAGCCTCAAGAATGAATTTGAAGACTGATATATAGACATTTTAAACAAAAGTAGCTTGTAAAATTTACTGACGAATGACAGTATGCTTTTAAAGTCACAAAAGGCTAGAAAATTGAGATTTCTCACACTGGAAGAATTGAAGGATTCTGTACATTGATTGTGGTTTGGGGATGGGGGTAAAATTCATCCCACTTTTAGCTGTCTTCACTATCAAGACTAGGCAATTTTCTGAGTATCATAAATAACATGTAAGAACATTTCTAAATATGGAAGTATATTTTGGTATTTACCTCATCTAGTTGAATCTCATGAGATTTAAGAAAAACAACCAGAAAGTCAGAAGCCTTCTTTACAATGGAATTTAAAGTGGTGCTGTTCACCTGAAGAGCCCCCTTTTGAATTCTACTTCAAGAACAGGGAATATAGTCAATAATGTTGTAATATCTATGTACAGTGCCAGGTGGGTACTAGACTAGTTAGGGGGAATCACTTTGTAAGTTATATAAAAGTCTAACTACTATGCTGTACACCTGAAACTAATATTGAATGTCAACTATAATTAAAAAATGAAAAAAAAAAAGAATGCACTGTTATTCTGATTCTATCAGCACAGGTTTCTGCCTTCCAGATTTTTTTCCTTATGAAACATTTTTCTTTCATAAGATAAACCAGTCTTTTATTTTTAAGGTCAGCTTCTATTAAATTTCTTCTAACTTAAATATCTTAAGGTGAAAGTTAGAATGATGATCTTTTCTCATGGGTTGGAATAAGGCAAATAAAAATGACAAATTAACAAAAGAAGTATATAAGACTAAGAATCAATAGAAAACCACAATTTAAGTGACCAAAAAAAGTGATATTTCCCAGGTTTAGTTTCTTCATAAGATTTTTTACAAAGGATAAAAAGTGATGACTGAATTATCATGAGTGTCAGCAAGGACCTCCTAAGGAAAAATACATTGCAATTTTAGAGATCCAATATTATAACAACCTTCTTCATTTTACCACATAATAACCCTTTGGTAATTAAAACTTAAAGATTATAGCATTATTATTTAAAGTACAGTTGGTTAATTAAGTTAAACAGCTATTTAATTTAATGACAAATTGAGTTGTATAAAAAAAATAGCTGGCTACGGCTGGCCAAGTGGCTCAGTTGGTTAAGAGCTCACTCAAGAGTTTGAGCTCTGAGCAACAGCAGTTCGAGTCCAGCCCACGCTGAGCAGCCGCTGAGCTGTCAACAGGTGGCAGGATGGCTCAGCTAAAAAAAAAAAAATAGCTGGCTGTTTAACAAAACTTTTCATTTTTTCAGCTGAAAATATAGGCATCATATATAGATGTAAAGTCAGAGCAGAATCAAATGAGGATCACTTTTTGACAATTATAAAGGTTTCATTCATCCCACTTAAATTCACTAAAAGAATGTCAACATTTTCTGTATCTCAAATTATGTTCCTTCTACCTACAAGCTTACTTTTTTGGATTACACAGACTATTTCTTTAGTTTTTTTGTAGTTACCTACATTCTTTACTTCTCCCCATCTATCCTTTCATTGTATCGCTTTTTCCTCTGCTTTGCACTTGCAGTGTTTAGAAAAACAAAATGGAAAATACATAAAGCTTACCATTTCCACCAAGGATAAATATAAGAACATCCCAGCAGTAACTGTCAAGATCCAGTTTTGAACACATGGATCAGTTGATACCGAGAGGCCAGTGTACAGCCCTATGAAGGCAGTCAGAGCACTTATGAAATTCATCAGGATGGCAATCTTAACAGGAAGTCCAGAACTTAGGAGCACAGCAAAGTCTCCTGAAATTTCAGGAAAAAAGAAAATATAATTCTCGATTCACTTGTGATGGCTTTGGTAATGTACTATCAGGTTGTTTCAAATTTCAGCAACTAGGACCAATTTTGCAAGTTAAGCTGAATGATCAGTTATATAGTTCCTAATACCGGGGATGCCAAAAAAAATGTATACAAATGGACACTTCAGTCAATGTTGCTCAAGCAGTAGTTGCGCCGTGATCAGAAGTGTCTGGTCGCTGATGGTAACTGCTTTGGGCACCTCTTGTAATTGCAGAAGTCAAACGTGACTTGTATTCATTTTTGTTATCAGTATATATTGAGTATTACAATTTTAATAGTTTTCCTTTCTTAAAAGGTGTATACATTTTTTTGGCACCTTCTGTATATTTGGAAATATATTCCAATATTTCTCTAGGATTCATAGCTAACTCATTATGCGATTAGGAAGTTACATTTCAAGAGTTCTGCTCCTTTTACTGCTCCTAAAGATAATATATACAGAGAGAACTCTGACATACCCTCTAGTTACTGATGTCCTGTGGTCCTGTGGCATTTTCAGGTTAGATAAATGCAAAATAAAACACTTGCTATCCCCAGGTTTCTAAATCTTTTTGCCTGGAGATTTACCAGACAAAATCATGAGGTAGTAAACGTGGGCTTTTCTTACTTACTTATATAAAAACTGCTTTTAGAAAAGAGAAAACTACTTAATATGAGATTTAGAAACCATTGCAAAAGTTAGTTAGCAAAACAAATTTTTCCTTTAGAAAGTGTTTTAAGGCCTTAATGATTTTAGAAAAATGACATTCTCTCCTTTCCTCCAAATAATAATAATAATAATAATAATAATAATAATAATAATAATAATAATAATGACCTATTTAGCTGAGAGCCTCTATTTCTTAGTTGGAGGGATCAAGAAGAGGCTGAAATTCAATAAAGACAGCCTGTGGACTGAGTTTCCTAGTCGCTGGCCTGTGGCAGACGATCACACTCCCCTGTGTTTTTACTATAGTAGCGAAAAGCAGGACCATAAGATAGGATATCCAGACCAGGCACATTTCAGTGGAGTCAAGAAGGACCTTGAATAAACTGTTTCAAGAGGGATGGGTCAATGATGAGTTGACCATAGGACTTCAACCAACAGACACTAAACGCCAGAGGGCAGGGGTGGACCCAGGGGGCAATGTAGCTCTGAAAATAGGGGCAGAAAGAGCAACTGCCAAGAGCCTTCTCTCTAGGGCAGCAGTTCTCAACCTTCCTAATGCTGCGACCCCTCAATACAGTTCCTGATGTTGTGGTGACCCCCAACCATAAAATTATTGTCGTTGCTACTCTATAACTGTAATTTTGCTACTGTTATGAATCGTAATGTAAATATCTTTTTGTTTTCCGATGGTCGTAGGCGACCCCTGTGAAAGGGTCGTTCAACCCCCAAAGGGGTCGCGACCCACAGGTTGAGAACCGCTGCTCTAGGGCATGTGTATGCCTGGGTCCAGCCTCTACTCTTCCTGGGCCTGTTCCATAAATGTCTATTCTATGTCATCCTGGTTTCTGGGAGGCAAGGTTTAAATTATAGCGCTATTACGATTATCCAGAAAGAGTCTTATGCACATCTGCTACCATTCGCCTGTCATTTTAATTTTACACTGGGCTTTAGATGTCTTGTACTAATAAGGTTGATGAAACCACGGTTTGGCTTTAATTTAAATGTTATTTTATCACATTGGCTTATTTGCTGACATAATGGGTAAAGTTCCCCTCTTAAAGTTTTTCCCATGCTTACTATGCATATTTTAAAGTCCTTGCCAATGTTCTTTGAAAGGAAGTTTCTCTGAAAGACTTTCTCCCATATAGAAGTTTCCAGAATCCAAAGAGTCACCCTGGGAAATATCACAGGGTCTAAGAGAATTTTGTCTCCAGGTATAGGATATCTTTTCTAGTTCTTTTCTGCTTATGTTTAAATAAATTGTGAAAGGAAAGTATTCTTCTTTTCATTGTATGTTGGAAAAGGGAAACCATACATAGAAACATATTATGATGTTCTCAACAAGCAACAAACAGTGATTCTACTGTCAGGCTTACCCATTTCGTGTGGAATTTCATGACACAAGATAGCAATTGTTGTGGTCACTCCTGACTCAGATGAAGATGAGAAGGCTGTTCCTATCACGAGGCCATCTGCGAAATTATGTAAGCTGTCCCCAACCAGTATCATGATTGCTAACAAGCTAATGGATTTGCCTAAAGAACCAAATAAAGGTGTGAGAAGCATTAACAGAGCACTGTATATTATCATGGAATCCTTCAGATACGACCAACGTTCCCGTTCAGCCTTGACATTCTTAAATTGCATCAGATTACGTAACCACATTTTGTTTCAGCTTTCAAAATCAGCAAGGACTGGACTTGCAAATATAGTAACCAACATGGCTTGGATGTATGGTCGCTGCTTTTTTAATGGGTCTGACTAATCATGAGATAAATTATGCACTGGCTTTCACTATTCCATCACCTTGTCCAGTTGTGCCAAATGAAGAAAATAATTTGTGTTATAACCTCACAAAATACCAGCACTGACCTTTCCAGGTGTGTTTTTCATAAAGCATTTTAAGATAATTTGAGAACCTACCTGCAGAATGTCATTAAAAGAGAGTCTGTTTTTCAAAACTGTCCCCTCTGAGTCAGACTGTCCCCAGGGTCAACCTGGGGGAGTACATGTTCTGCCAGTGCGTGGTCATTGTGTGTCCCTGTCTAGTTGGTGTTAATGAGCTTTCTGAAATGCCTCATTCAACTCTGACCATGACAGAACCACAACCAATTCTGTTGATCCCAAAGTTAGCTTTGGAACAGTTACTTAACGTTCTTATCTTTCTGAAAATAACTTTTAGTACTAGACCAGCCTGATGTTGAACAAAACAAGGAGAGGCTGTTTGTGTGAGACTCTGTTACATAATGTACATGATCTGATTAGTGGAGAGTCAATGAACTAATTTAGATCATAAGGGGTTAATTAATGGAATAATTTAGATCATGATTGGGCTCAAGTTTTTAATGTGCAGAATTTCTGTTTTCAAAAACCTAACATTGTGGATTAGGATAACCCAATTATGGAGTTGGATGACTAAGAAATACAAAAAGTATTTCAGAGATAATACTTATTCTGACAGTAAGCTACCTAGGTATATCATTTAATAAAAAAATCAATTGCCATAATCTAAAACTTCATTAATTACTCAGTTGCTATATACTGGGTGACAGGTGTAAAGAGTAGCTATTGTTACTGTTAGAATTGAATGCAGTATTCTAATAATAGTACACTCAAAAACAGAAAGAGGTTGCCTCCTGGTTTCCATTATATGGTCTAAGATTGTGCGGGACTGTATTATAATATGATTTGCTTTTATTTGGGAAATACAGTTTGACTCATTTCATATCCCATACCATGAAATAAGTAACTTTGGTCAAATAAACAGCAGATATAGCCCAAACTATCAGCCAGGAAATGGCTGTTTTGACTGTTGCAAAGATGCCCCATGGATTTTGCTTCTAAAAAGCATACTTTATTTAGAACAATTACTGTGAGACTGACTTATAGCCTCCTTGTGGTTTACTAATTCATTTTATTCTTTATTAAAAATGAGAAGATTCCAGGCAACAGTCATAAAAACACAGACTACATATCAAATTACTGAATTCAGGGAGTTCTTATTGGCATTGCCTGGAAGCTTGCAGAATCTAATAATGCCACCAGGTCACTTAGCTGTTCCTGCCAATTTTCAGAAATAAAGCTCTTCTTTGTGAACATATAATAAAATAAAATAATGTAAAGTAATACATTTGACAACATTGCAGCATACAAATAAATTGGATTTCCACATGCCTACATGTAGTATTGATATTAGTAGCATATAGTCAAATGGAAAATTTTTACCCAATTTATATTCTGCTAAGAAACAGTGTGGCCTATTTTTGCTGTCTATTATTTTATTATCTCTGATTATGGGTTTTCTTAAATGTCAAATCATGGACATGTAATAAGCCACAAGGCAAATACACACTTTTGCATATAAGCCACAAGGAACACACTGTGCATATTAAGAAAATTCAAACACTATTCAGCAGAAGAAACAACAAGCACTCACTGGTAATTTAATGTATTCATTACAGAATTACCGATAATATTTTACCTTTCCTTATGTACCTGGCAGTCATGTTGAGTTCCACATTTCTGACTGACCAGAGATTTTTCCATAGTGAAACATGGGCTGGACCTTGTATCATTTTGCTTTTTGTTTATTTAAATCAGGCCGTGGATAGGAGTTTCGCATCCTGTGTTTTGAAACACAAGCTGAGCTCCACCAATGAGGTAATATGAAACAAGTAATCAAATATTTGAAGCTAATTCAATATGTCCCTGGAAAAAGGGCAATTGTGTAATCAAATTTTGGGTTGTTCATTATTCATTCTGTACGCCAAGCTTGACATCTGAAGTAGAAAGATATAAGAGCTACAAAATATTTGAATAAGTCCATGTAACTCCCTGATCTAGCATCCACTTCCCACTCCTAATTTGACTACACAGATCCTTCTTTCCTCTTTTTTCTTTCAAAAAACAAAAAACAAAACAAAACAAAGAAATGCCTATTGTCGGCCTACTAGGTGCCAGGCATTCTAAAATTTCTCATGAAACTAAAGATTTAGAATAAAAAATTGTATTAACGATGTCTTGAAAGCAGAATTGGATAGACTATGTAATTACATATTTTGATCAAATAAATTACAAGAGTTAATGTAGCTAACACATTTAGAATGGTGATTGGTACAATCATGGTTGTTCTTATCAGTAATTTATATCACCAACCACATTACAAACTAGAGATAAAGACCATTCTTATTTTTATTCTCCACTGCATACACAGTACCAGACACATGGCACATCTTCAAACATTTCTTGAATGAATGAAAGAAGGTGAGAAAACACATGGATACATGCACGAATGAATGATTACAAGGAAGTTGTTGGTGCGTTTGCGTTTCCTTATTCCTCCATGTTGGAGCTTACGAGCTATGTAACCTTGGGCAGTGACTTATCTTCTCTAACAATTGGTTTCTTCATTTGTGTAATTTGGAAAATATTCTTACCTCATTAAATGTAGGATGATTAAATGAGGTAATCCATGTCTAGTTTTTACTACTGTGGCTGACATATAATAATTGTTCAATAAATGGAAGCTAATTTTATTATTGGGTAACTAATTCATTACAGTAGAATAGGAATAACTAATCATAGCTGCTTAACATTGAAACATTTAGACGCTGTGTCACAAATTGGTAATATAAATGATAAAAATGGGGCAAACATTCAGGAGCAACTGATGAAAACCAAAACAGACAAAAAAAAACCAATTCTGAGAATTATTCAAAAACATAAGCAAAAAGAAATAAATTCCTATTGAAAATTAGTAAATTAAATTCAGAAATACAGAAAGGCATAGAAAGAAAAAGGTTGATTGAAAATTATACGAACAATTTAATTATATTGGGTTGTTGGAAGAGTCATGACGCATTTTTGCAACGAAAAACAGAAAAAACACGTCATGACTTTTCTGACAATCCAATAGAATAAAATGTGAATAATGAGGTATCATAGATTTGAACTCCATCATCTTAATGACAACATCAAAAATGAGACAGACATTTGTGATCAATTTTTAGAAGACTGTGATAGAAGACAGAAAAAAAACCAATCATGTCTTCAGACTGTAACGGTGACCCTATATCTTCTATTTGAAATTTAAACCTCTGATGTACTGTACATTGCCATACATGATGTGCACTTTTTGCCCAAATTTGTGAGGGAAAAATAACACATTATACATGCATAGCACTAATTCCATATCAATATGTTTTATTTATATAAAATAACTCATTATACATGCATAGTACTAATTTCATATCTATATAAATGTTTTATTTATTTATATAAAATTACTTTATGCTATGAGTTAAAAGTGTAACTCTAGAAATCAACAACGATATTTGTATGCAAAATAATACCGTGGAATCCAATAACTGATTTTGTTGAACTTACAACGTACTTGCAACAACGAAGAGTTCCTGGCCTTCTATGCTGTGTAAATATCGTAAATTTGTTCCCAGTGCATAAAATTTCTTGTACCTTGTATCTGTTCTTGTGTTTTGTAATTATTTGTTACATAAATCTTCTTGTACCATAATATGTTAAAAAAATAAATGCTAAAATTCCTTTATAATACAAAAAAACAAGTACCTAAATGTCAACAAACAAAACTTTGAATTAAAAAATTAAAACAAAAGTTTGTTTTCTCTGAAAGCTTGGACCAAAACCGTGGGTGCGTATTATACGTGGGAGCGCATTATACACAGCAAAATACGGTAATTTGATTTGACAGTGGTTTGGTTTGGGACTTTTTGAAAGTTTGTTTTTCCATTTTTTGCTTCTCTCTCCTCCCACCAAAACTTGATGACTGTTTACCGCGTATTTACTATGCATATCAGTTCCAATGGTTCTGTTCACTTCAGACCAGGGTGCACACCTGGGCCGGTAACATAGGAGGAGTTTTTGCATCTGTATGGGGATCACTCTGGACCCTGGGGCCGACCAGGCTCTAGGCAGCGCTTTTTTCTGAAGTTGCCTGGCCAACTTCTCCTTGCTTTTTTCTGCCCCTCCTTGTGTGTCTATAAAACCTTTCGGCGATATTGAGAGAGAAAGGCAGTCTTTGTGACTGGGAGTCCACTGTCTTCCCTTCATGCTGGCACTTTTAAATAAAACCTGCTTTTCTTTCCACCAACCTCACCTCCCGAGTTCTGGCTTCTGTGCAGCAAGCAGCCAGATATTTTGCATGGCAACAAGACTTCAGAGGAAGTGAAAGGCTCAATCATCATGTAAACATGATTTTAAAGGAGCTCTGCTAACCACATGTGTATTTACACTAATTGAAGTTTTTAGCTCAGCTTTGAGCAATTGTGGAAAACAAAATTTTTAAAGAGTAAAGTTGATGTTAATGTGTGGTATGTTTGAAAGACTAAGGAATGAGTCTTTATTAAAAATTCTGTTGCAAAGGTTGTAATAATGAAATACATACCCAATATGAAATTTACATGGTTTTGACATATTTATTTGAAAGCAGGCATAACATTTTTCTATGGCACTTTCTATATTTAAGGTTGAGCTTTTTTTAATGGGTACTCACATTTTCTGTTGGAGACTGTCATCGTGCCTATAGGAATTTCAGCGGCCTGGGGATCTTCTGGGCCTTTCTATTTTAAATTTAAAAATAATAATAATAAATGAGGAAAGATAAGCAACAGCCATCATTTTATTGGCAAATGAAACATCTGAAGCGATGCTGATTTTTTAAAAGACATTTTAATACTCTCGAGAATATTAGAACTTCTAGATTTCATAAACAAATATAGAAAGTAGGGCTAAGAGTCCACAAGCGTGCTTTGGTACTATGTGCACTGAGATGAAAATAGCACTCTTATGGAGATCAGGCTCTCACAGAGTGAGTGCTAGAGGCTACTGAGACAGTCTGTAATTCAGACTCTTAAATAATGTAAGCCTTTATGAAACCCAAAAGCTGAAGACAAAAAAAAAAAAAAAAAGATTCTTGGTTCTTGACCTAATTTGGCTCTTCTCCTGCATGGTGGGTTGTGGACCCAGGATTCACCTTCTGACCTGTTAGCATATCACGCATTGTGGATGGAGAACCACCCTCCATGCCAACCCAACACCTCATTTCACTCATCATGGGATAATATTCTGTTTTTGTGGCTTGGCCAGTCAGTAAAAGAAGCTTGCTAATTAAGAAAGGAGATCCACGGACTTACAAAAGACAAATATAATAACATTTTAAAGTTTTCTCATCCTTTCATATGACAGGGAAGTGAGATTCTGACATTGACATATATGAGTTAAGGTTACGTGATTTTATTTCAGAGACTGACTCATGGTTCAATTTCTGGAAAGTCACTTCCCCTCCCTATGCCTCAGATTCTTATTCTCTTATGTGAAAAGAATACATTTTATCTGCCTTTTGAACATGCTCTTTTAAAAGCATATTCATATAATTCTATCATCCAAAGTTGTGGCGACTTGGAGACAAATTTCATGTGAGACATAAGCATCGTTTTGTTTGTTTGTTTGGTTTGGTTTGTTTTTAATGTAAAACAGGGAAAGTAAACTGAAAGTGCATATGTTAGAATACTAGAGCTAGTCAAAAGAGGTAAGGCTGTTTTTGGGACAAGGATATTCAGAAGGTTAAGAGCTGTGGGATTCAGGGTTAGAGGAGGAAGACAGTCCTCTTGCCTGAAATTGGGGGATCTAGAAATAAAAAAAATATGATTTTTTTATACATTCTATCAAAAGCCTGATTATAATCAAAAAGCTCCACAGTTCCATTAAAACACAGGAGTTCAAATATTTATTCCAGAATTTATTTATTTTTTTCCAAAAAGCTATCTATTGTCACATTGTGTAAAGGAATTTAGAGGCAAACATTCAAGATTCCTTGTTGATTGGAAGGGACTGTAAGTTCCCCTCCTTCCTGAAAAAAAAGGAAATTGAACCAAATGATTCCTAAAGCTCATATTATTTCTATTTGCTTAAGTTGATCTTGCAGCTGAAATAACCCAAGAAATGGTGACTATATTATTAGTGAGCCAGCATATTCAAATACAACCAAACTCATGAAGTGAGCGTCAGAGGTTTGCTTCTGTGCATCTTGGTTTTCTGGGTCCTTTGTTCAAGCAGAATGAATAAGGTCATCATTAGAGTGATTTTAAAACTAATCTCAGCCTGAAGTGATCTTTCAAGCCACATGTGAAGTATCTAAGCAATAAACACAATTAAGCTTTTAAAATAATTTTTTAAAGGAGCTTTTTTTGTTCCTATCTCTGAGTTATCTCTAGATCTGCAATCTAAAGCCAGACTTCTATTTTTGCTGTGTCAATGTGTCAGGAAGAGATTACTTATCTCTACTCAGTTAGGAACCTATCCTTGAACTGTAAACCCCTACCCCAAAGCCATGGTTCTAAGGAGGCAAGTTTTCTAACTATTATATACCCCTTTCCTATTTTTCCAGTCCCTTTACTTGTTACTTTGAGAATTAGAATGGAAATATTGTTTGGAATCTGACTGGAGGTTGTGTTTTGAGAATTCATATGGAAGATTTTTGTCATGGAAAATTCAATGTAACAAAAGCCCTTAAACTAGGAGACACCTCATTGAACAGAATCAGTTTCCCCCGGCATTGTGACATGAACACTCCACTCCTAGATGCACGAATTCCTTGTTCAACATTTATTTGCACCCACCTAGCCAGGGCTAAGGATTACACAGAATGGAAAACTAAAGGTCAAGTAGTTTATAAAAACTGATAAACAGAAGGATTACGTTGCTGTATATTTTGCCAATCTGAGTCATTACATGTTTCAAAGTGGGGCAGATAGCAATGATTTCAGTCTGTGGAAAATACTTTTTACTCTTTAAAATAGGTGCGTGGCAAATTTTTCTAAATGATTGATTATGATCAAGAATAGGCAAATCAGGAGTGGAATCTGTATCTACCCTACTGATTTTTATCGATTCATCCAAGAATAAAGGACAGAAGGTAATCAAACCATTAAAATACTTCAGATCAGCAACCTACCAACGGGATAGTTGAAGCAGATTTGCCTTTGCCTGACTGGTCACTTAATTCAGAGTTGAGTGGAAGATGGTGGGAATGTCCCACAGGCCCATTAACCAATGACATGCCCTGCTGGATAAGGATGGTTTAAAATTAGTGCTGGAGCCAGAAAAACACAGGTGCAGTCTTTGTCAGTTCCATGGTTCTAGTTAACATTTTGCTTGTAGGCCAAAGCGATGGGTGGTACAAAAAGAGTAATAGGAGAATTTCATCATAATAAATACTTGCTAAAATATCTCCCCTTAAAGAAGCACAGGACTGCTCCAAGTCATTATGCATACTTCCGAAAGCTTTAAGAATGCAACTTAAAAAATGTCTAGCTATGATTTGAAAAGGCTTTAACAGTGGTGTTTTTATATTATCTTTAATTTTTTCATAGTTCAATTACATTTGACATACAATCTTATATTAGTTCCAGGTGTACAACATAGTGATTAGACAGACCTCCACAGAACTCACAAAGTGATCACCCCAATAAATCTAGTACCCATCAGACACCATACATAGTTACTACAATGCTATTGGCTATATTCCCTATGCTGTACTTTACATCCCCATGACTGTTTTTATAACTGGTAATCTGCACATCTTAATCCCTTTCCCTTTTTCTCCCACCTCCTAAACCCCCTCTCATTTGACAACCATCAAAATATTCTCTGTGTCTACAAGTTTGTTTCTGTTGTATTTCTTTGTTTATTTTGTTTTTTTAGATTTCGTATTTATATTGTCTTTTGTATTTACTACAAAATTAAATTTTGAAGTTCTTCCTGACAGAGATAGCGAAAGGATGATCATTGAAACTGTACTGTATTCTAGAACTACTAAATTAATATCTCCAGAAAGGTATTCACCAATTAAAGCATTTGTAGTTTTTAAAACATGCACGTTCCTTTTATTTTACACAGTATCATGAATCCTGAAATTATGTTCTTAACACTCATTTTAAGTCCCCTGACAAGTCCAAGGACAATCTGAACAAACTAGGTTTTTAGATGTTCAGAATTTGTTTCACTCATTTCCATCCTGGTTAAATTTCTAACTATTTTGCATAGATTGATATGCTGGCTTTGTAATTTAGTTTGCCCAGTCCAGGAATGCTAATCTATTGTGTATAAATGGTGATCAATTATTACTTTTTTGGGCTTGAGATTAGAACCCCTTTTGTGGAAGTTAAGTATCTAAACTTCTAAAGTACTCCCATGATCAAAGCTTGCTTTCCTAATTTTGAATTCCTATAGCATCCTAGCTTGGGCCCTCAGCCAAAGAACAAACATGCTTCATGTTAAATAGAAATTCTTTTACAGAATTTTCTTTAAAATCTGTTTATTATGAAAAGTTTCAAATATGCAGAAAAGCTGGAAGAACTGTGATATGAACACTCAGATACCCACTTCCTGGATCCTACCATTGGCATTTGGCTAGATCGAGTTTTATCACACATCTATCTATCTATCGTCTCTCTATCCACCCACAAAACCATCCTTTTTTGATGCATAAAATAGAATTTTTGAATAAGTTTAGAAATGATAGTAAACAGAGGCTGATATTTCAAAAGACTACTCAAGTCTGACCTGAGCACAGGAATTATATGTTATGTGAGCAGGTAGAGTCAGGGACAAGTAAAAAACCATAAGTACTACAGAGCCCCAAGACGTTGTAAGGAAAACTTGCTTTATTTTAATCTCCTGGAGTTTTTTATAAGTGTTTACCTTTTAACCATTCCACCAAACAGTTCATCTATTTTCTTATAGGATAATGTGTATGCACACAGACCAAAAAAAAATCATAAATAACCCACACTGTGTTTAATGCCTCATCATTTACGTAGAAATTGACCAAATACAGGCACGATGAAAGTGATGATTCAAGCAAAAGATCGGTCACAAATAACATCCCTGAACTTCTTTTAAATGCCCTGAGGATAGAATATAATGAGTAATTTTGTGAAGGTTCCAAATTTGTGTTTGCTTGTTTATTTGTTTTTGCTTAGGAAAGACATTCGAAACAATGATTAGTAGCGAGGCCTCTGGGCCCCTTTATTCTCAGGCCTGAAATAGCCTCCTGTTTCTAAACTAGCCATGAAGGTCAAATAGCAGGTTGTAACAAGGACATCCATGGGCCAGCAACAGATGTTTAAAAAATTAATAACCACACTTACAGGGACGCTGCAAGTCAGAATGTCCTGTGTATTCTGGAAATCAGAGCCTCATCCCTTACACAGACAACTTCATGAAGATGTCAATTACTTTTGGACAAGTACTTTTTCAATAAAAAAAAATCAACATTATGAAGCCCTATAGAAAAGGATAAATAAAATTTAAAATATACCTCAGGACGTGGTGATACAAGAAGAATAAAACATTTTTCTATCAAGAAAAATCCATGGATGCCTCCAATTAATCCCAACAGTTTCCAAATGTGACCTTTGCTTTCATGGAAATGTCCAAACTCTGAGGTTTCCTGCTTATGTAAACCAAGAACCTAAAGAGAGAGAGAGAGAGAGAGAGAGAGAGAGAGAGAGAGAGAGAGAGATAAAGAAATAACTTTTGATGACTTAAGTATTAATTATTAGGTTCCGTGTTGAATGTGCTTGACCTTTCATTCCAGGGACCCTCATGACAACTCCTGAAAATATTCAAAACCCAGTTTGCTTTTAAATGTATGAACACTTCTGCTATAGGATTTAGTCATGGTCAAACAAAACATGTACAAGAGAAAAGAAGGGAGAACGTTGAGTAGTTTCTGCTAATGAACAGAAGAAAGCCTCAACTTATTTCAGTCAGGGACCTAAATTTTCATGCATTCTCAGCCCTTTCACTGAATTTTGTTTTTCCAGGAGTTCAATGTGTATCTGTTTGCACAGCATTGTCTTATAATAATCAATGTATTTTACATCCAGAACAAATATAAAGATACATTTCATCTGGCGTTTATTCTCCCTGTGCTCCACTGCAGTTGAAGAACATTTTTAATAAATGTTCCAAGAAGTAAGAAATCCACCTGACATTTTCCATTGAGTGCATACAGTATACCCAGCAATACTGTCAGCAACCTGGGACACACAAAGATATAAGAAGCATTAGGAATTTTCCTCTAGTGACTCATCCCATTGGTTGACCTCATGATTTCTTGTGAGCTAGTAAATCATTGTGTATTATATTACCTCCCCAGGAGAGGCAGTTTGGAAAATAGCTCAGTGGTTACCACATTTGGATGTTAATGACCATTAAATTACAAAGAGGAAAAAGAAATTATATGGGTATATAGTATATGTATGTATATATGTTCATACGTATATGTAGATGTGTATGTGTGTATACATATGTGCACACATGAGCACATGAGTGAATATATACATTGAGTTTATGCACAGAACTAAAAACCAACTTATGTTAGTCAACTTCTTCTGGTAAAGACATTAAAGGATACCCACCTAATATTTATAATTACCATTATTTCACAAAATAGAGAACATTGTTATAATGTTATAATGTCATACCAAAATACAGGAGGAAAAAAACCACAATCTCAGGATAAATTGTAGATTTATAAGTTGAATAAAGTTAGCTAGTTAAAAAAGGAAATCATGACAATGACTCTTATCTCATTCCTGTGCAGCCCTTTGAACACTTGCCAGAGATCACCTCCAGGAACCCTGATTTTTCTAGCTTTCCGCCATATTTGTACTGCATCATTCTTCCTCTTCCTAATAGCTTTTGACTTTGTCTCTTTCCTCAAGTAAAGCAACTGCCTTCCACATTTCACGAAACCCAGCTAATCTTTTAAGTTCCCCTCTGTCACACGTGTCCACAGAGCCATTTGTCAGTCCCACCCACCCCAAAGCCTCCCAGCTACCTTGAGCTGTGTGCTCCACTATCAGGGGACACCCAGGAAGCTTTAAGATCCTTTTTCTGTTTCCCAGGATCCTGGGAATAAACAGCTTTGTAGCCACTGCAGTGACCTAGAAAAAAGGCCTCGGCGACCGCCTCAAGCCAATAAGCTCTGAAATATTTCCAGAAAATTAGATTACAAGGGAAATTAAAACGAATAAGGGTTTGTTTCATTTCTCCAATGCTCACTTTTCAGTTTTCAAAACATCTAATAATTATTGAGCCTCTAAGCAACAAGAATGACCCTGTAGGAAATTGCCAGAGGCCTGTGGAAAATTTTTAATATCCCAGCCTTGGCTAGAGGGGGGATGATCATTTGTCCATCATTATCTGCCATGAGTTCTCAGAGAAAATAGATACCCTCATGTGAAGACCCTTCTGCCTGAACTCTTTTGCTTCTCAGGTCCTAGTCCTTTCATTTCTGACAAATAAAGAGCCTCAAAGACTTCAACAGAGCCAGCTTCCTGGTGCTCACATTTTTCTGAAGGAAAATTTAGTCGCTCTTAAGTTGGGCAAGAAAGAGAAATTCATTTTGATGGTTCAAATGCAGAAAGGTTAATGATGGTATTATTACAGAGGTATGGACAAAGTCAGGGTATGAACGTGGGATAATGAGCCACCCAGAAACGAGCCACCCCAGGAAACCATTACCACTCAGGGCTGAAAGGGCAAAGGTTGGAAGTAATGTTACAGGAGTTCAGTGGGCGGTGGAGCTGGGGAGAAGGCCCCCATGGGAACTGCAGGACTAGGTAATCAGCTGTTTCTCAAGCAAATACCAGAGCCAAGAGGGAAGTGTGGAGAAATACTCCTGCCGCCCCCTCCTCCTACCCTGACTTTCTGTTGTGTCTCCCATTGGCTGAACCCAAACTACAGTTCAGCCTGCAAAGGAGCTCAGGGGATATACTCATCTGGGGCACACAAAACAGCAGGGAAGGGCAGAGAATGGGGCCGATGAGGTTTGGGGGCAGCTGGAGGAAAACCAGTGCAATGTCTTATAGCCCATTCATTTTCTTTCACGGGTAATTAGTAGATGCTTCGTGAATGTTTCTTAATAGGAATCTACATCTGATCAGCTTTCTTTGTTTATTGCAAAAAAAATAAAAATAAATAAGAATACCGTCTGGTGACTGTAATGACCGGTCATCTACTTTCTCCTACAAGTGCTTTGGGGAAATAATATTCGCTTCCATGGAAACGCCGGCCACTGTATCGATCATCCAAGTCGCTGTGAAATTTTGCATAAACACCTCCAGTGGCTTATTGTAAAGAGAGCTTAGAAACACCCAGTGTGAATCAGAAGGCAGCAGCTTACCTCAGGAATAAGGTGGAGCAGAGCATCCCCAGAGAGTGTTCCAACAGCCAGGCCCACAAACAGCTGTAAAATAAGCCTGTAGTTCTCCTCACATCTGTGGAAAAGGATCAGCGTGGTCCCGAGCATGGAGCCCAGCGTGAGCAGCGTCACAGCCACTGTGCTGTAGCCATATTCTAAGTCAGAAGGAGATTGAGACAGCAGTCAGTGCTCATCACCCTCTGTAGTACCTCAGCTAGAGAAAAGGCCAGAAGAATCCATCTTACAGTACAGCTCATAGAGATAGGAAATTGTTTTATCCCTGTTACACTGGGCAAAAGGTTTTCATTTTTAAGGAAAAGAAAGATTTTCACCAGATAATCCCATTGCTTTAAAGTTACCCTGGTGACCTCTTATTAAAAATCACTGTGGCGGGGGCCGGCCGAGTGGCACAATGGTTAAGAACTGGCTTGGGACGCCAGAGGGCCCCGGTTCGGATCCCACATATGAGGGCCAGTGACACTGCCCTCCGCAGCTAAGATGCTG